TGAACTAACTGATGATGGGAAGCCTATGGGGATTACAACTGAGATGGAAAAAGGTACAAAATGATGGAAAAATAAATTATTATAATAATAAAGAAAAAAAATGAAACTACTCTTGCCCAAAGTCAATCATATAATGTTTACTTTCCATTATCTTGCCTTTCTGAAAGAACCCTCAATAAAAGTGTAACCTAGGTCTTGTCCTCATTCCCATTTTCTCCTCCTGACCATCACAATGTTCCCCAGTCCATTATTGTACAAAGTAGCATGTCCCCTTCCTTCTAAAATCTCATAATAAATTATTTTTTAATGGCATTTGCCTCACTCAGCATTCCTCCAAAAACTAAATGTTGGGTATGATTTTTCAGGTAGAAATTCTTCTGCTAGTTCTGGCTGCACCAGTTTGAGGACCATACACTGTGTCCAGGTAGCAGCAGGGCAATGGGTAAGAGATCAGGAGAGTGACTGTAATGAAGCCGCAAGTTGCGCCTGCATGAAGTAGGCCAAAGTCTGTGTGGAAATGATCTTAAGACAGCAAATTTAGTCAGAACTAAGGTAAAGAAGATTCAGGAGCGATAAACATGAGATGACCCTTTCTGAACCCCTACACTGTGACCTGGATGATGAGTCATACCTGGAAACATGAAGGTTGTGGCCTCACACAGGCCCAGGCTTTTCCTGTGATGCAATCAGTTGCCAGAAAACTTTACCGGAAAATAATTCCTGATATAATTTGACAGGTTTTTCTTTAAAGAAGTGATCTTACTGGTACTACATTAGCATTGGCTGGACACTGCCTGTCTTTGTGGCATTGGGCAAAGGGCTGCTATGAAAATGTGATGCTTGATATCTCCTCATATGCCTTATAATCTCTCCTAAATTATTTTCTTAGCATTACATATTTACCAAGACTACTGGCTTTGTTTATTATTCTATTAACTCCCATGAGATCACAAATTTCTGGGTTTTTCCCCTGATAGTATGTAATTAAGACCTAGTACAATGTCCTCATATATTAGATATAAACAAGTATTTTTTGAAAGAAATTTTTGTATTATTAAACAAAATTTCTGATATGTGAAGTTATTAAAAACACAAACTATTTTCTAGTTAACTCCCTTCTTCATTAAACCATAATCACTCCAGCTGTTATTCATTCTTTTTAACCCCTAAAAGCACCATAACTACAGCACCCAGCAGTATTCAATAAGCATTTATTTCAACAATAGTTTGCTGAACTAGTGATTCATTGAAACATTAATTCTCCTAAATTCTGCAACATTCATAAAATTGTTTGATAGCGTTTTCTTACTTAATCCTACCTCCTTGACATATTGTGATCATCAGTGAGTATTCAGGGATTTTCCTGAAACTTCCATTTAGTAATGACTTTATTGACATAAAGAGTAATCATTTTTCTTATTCTTTGGTTACTGTCCCTGGTTGACTCCTTAGTGAGATGCCTTTCTTGTAATAGTTTATAAATATTATCTTTCTTTAAGGATAAAACTTCTGCCTCTGTGAACTAGAAGGACACCATGAAAAGTATGATGAAAGATGTTCAGAACATACTTATTTAACATTAAAAGTGTTATAGAGAAACCGAAGGGAAATGGGAGGTCCTGAGTTTGAATCCTCACCTGTGCATTTAAAAAGAAAGAAAGAAAGAAAGAAAGAATAAGACCCAAGAGCAGGCATATATAGAAAAGTTAATAAAGGGTTGTTTATAAGGGAAATGAAAAAGAAGAGGTGGGGGTCAGCTGGTTAACACATCCTACCTGTAATGCTGCCTATGCTGGGACCCAACCTGCACACTCAAGGTAGGCAAAACTAACTTCCCTCCAGACCATCAAGCATACCACTTACCCCACCCTCTGTTCCCAGCAATCCCCTGAAAAGGGTATGGCAGGTCCATGGCAGATGGATGTTTGAGACCCCTGGCATGGAGGTGGAGGTGGAGGTGGAGTTCAGTCAGGGCATCCTAGTCTCCCCCCACCCCCAAGTTATAGCTAATAACTTCCAAAACATTGGTCAATCAGGTAATATCTTCTAAACTAATAGTTATGTTATTTAATTAAAAAAGATTTATTTATGTATCCATACAAGAACTAGGGTACAGGTGAGAGGTGCATGGGCAGTGAGAGGATTCACCAGAGACAGAGTAGGGAGCAGAACATGCATATTGACAAAATATACTGCCGAGGGGAGCAGCAGGCCAAACGGGAGAGGTCTGCTGCGTCATGTGGGTGAGTTCCCTGACGAGAAAGGGATATGATAGCTTCATAGTTTGCACCACCAGGGAAGCCCTAATAGTTGATTTTAAAGTGTTAAAATCCAAATTCACCTCTAAGTTTTCATTTAAAGTTCTTTGGTATTTTGCTATTTATTATGAAAATATATTCCTACAAATTTCATGAAATTATTTAGGTAGAATAACATCCAAAAGTCTGACCAGATTTTGTGACCTTAATTTATCAACAGTTGTCAATTATTCAACTGAACCTACATTATACACTTCAGTTAGTAATGATATCAATTCGATAATTTATTAAGCAAATTAACAGCAATAATAATTCAGATTTTAAAACGGAGGTACAATAGCAAGATTATCCAAACATGTAAAGACTACTGCTTTGAGTGCTGTTTAACTTTAACCATTATCATTGGTATTTTTATTTTATTATAGATTTCCACAGAATTTAATTAAAATAGCGAAGGATGAATTCCAAAATCTCTTGAAATAAGTTCCTTGCAACCTTTAACTTCATTACAGTTTCCCAAACAATGAAAGACAATGTTCCTAGAGAAATGGTAAAGGTATTTAAAGGATGTAAGTAAAATTTTAATTTTGACCTCAAGTGTTAAAATAATTTTTGCAAGAACAATTTATTTCTTAGAAAATTAGCATATTTTCTAGATGTTCTTTTTTTTCTAGATGTTCTTTAATAAAACTTATCTTGTTCTTTAATTTTATACTTTCATATACAAGCTTACCTATATTAACAATTAAAAAGAAAAAATAGATATAGCAACAATTAAAGAAATAAAATTCATAAGAGGTAAAATACCATTTTTCATATGCAAGACTAATGGGAAAAGGACCATGAGCGCTTGGATGGTGGGGGTGGTATGGTAACATGTACATATACATTGTTGTAAACCTATGAAACCAAAACAAGACAAAGCAAAAAAAAAAAAAAAGTTTGCCAATACTCAGGTGTTCAACATCTTTTTTAATAGACAAGCTCACTACCAAAAAATTAATTCCAACCAGTACCACCAACTGATACTCTTTACTTTTATTTCATCCTTCCCCTACCCTCTTCCCCCCTGGTAACCACAACTCTGTTCTCTGTATTTATGAGTTTTGTTTGGTCTGTTCACCTTTTTTCTTTTTACATTTCACAAGAGTGAAATAGTAAGGTATTTACTTTTATACAACTGACTTACATTGCTAAGTGAAATAAATCACCTGGTGAAAAGACAAACAACATATATGCAATCTTTAAATCAGGTCACTTCTAACCATCCTTCAGTCCCTTTACATACTAAGAGGTTTTCATTTATTTCTACCCTCTGAGTCTAGATAATAATTTTTATGTCTGACAAAATGACAAAGAAGATTGGCAGATCAACACATTTTGTAATTCTCCTGCATAATGGGTCTCTTCCAGTCCTCATCTTGTGGGGCTACATGATAATTTTTGCCTGAGTTATGTGAGATACAACTGTTATTTGTCACTGGTAGTCCTGCACCTTCAAAGAGAGACCATTTTCTCTGACTCCTTTCACTTTGTGAAGCTGTGAAGGCTGGTGGAGCCACATTCAGAAGGCTCCTATGTCCTTCAGTTACCATGAAGGACAGCCTCCTGCTAATTTGTAAACATCCCAAATTAGGGCACTCCCTGGTGGCCCAGCAGTTAAAGCACAGCACTAAGAATCTAAAGCCACTTCCGCATGAGTTCGATCCCCGCCTGCCCTGGAGGTGATCCACCTGACGGGCAGACCTCTCCTGACCTGCCCTCTGCTGCCCTCAGCAGTGTACTTCATCAGCCTGTTCTGCTCCCCACTCTGTCTCTGGTGAATCCTCTTACCGTCCCTGTACCTCTGGTCTGTACCCCAGTTCTGTATGAATGAATAAATAAAATCTTAAAAAAAAAAAGTCCCAAATCATTACCTGAGCCAGAAATATAGTTCTACTGTGTTTTGCTATTAAAATTAGAAAATTTATTTATTCAAACACCAAATGCTACCTAAATAATGTATATATAAGTTTATATCTAATGAAAAATGTGTTCATTTTAATTTGAATCATACCCTATTCTGAATTTTATTTTAGGGAATTGAAATTAAACACACACACACACACACACACACACACACACATTCTGTTTTCCCTCAACAGAACAAGGGTATATGGTACCTAGCACAGCAAATTATATTGCAACTTTCAAATTTATCATTATATAATTTCTTCTTAATTGTCCACCATCAGTAAACAAAATTTGGAGTAATGCCTTACTCTAAATCAGAATTTTGGGGTTCAGGTTTTTTTATTTTTTACATGTATAATCAAATAGAACAGGATGAGGGACATTCATATAAAACAACTTAGTTCATGGTTCTGTTAATTATGTTAAGTTTCTTTATTACATTTATTATGTTTTTCACTTAAAATGATGTAAAATAAACTAGTAAAATATGGTCATAAAAGTTTTTTTGCTACAAAAAACTTTGAAGAAAATAAACAGCCCCCTTTTTCCTTGTCAAACTAAAAAGTGATAATATTCTGCTGTTATTTACAAGTATCCCAGTGGAAAGGATACTCTAAGTAAAGGGATTAGAGTACAAGGACTATTCTTAAAATAGATACTTACAGAAGTCAATCTTTCCTTCTTTAGACACTCCCTGTAAACATTTGTAGTTTTGATTCTAATGCTATTTCATCACCTGTGAAATCAATGCATTGGGATTTTCAAAATAACAAAATCTGTATTTCTTACCTGTATATTTATGTACTTTGTGAAGAAAACTTAGAGCAAACAGGACAATGTTTTGAAAATTTGTGAAGTCACCAATGAAGTGAGTTTCATCCCCACTAACAAGAATTCGTGTTGGCAGGCCCTTCTGGAATTCATGTGTTCTTGTCAAGGTTGTTGGAAAGAGTGGTGGAGCTAAATAATCCACAAATAAAGCCCAGTTGTTTGCAAAATCTGCTTCTTGTTTAGAATAACATTTTAACCTATTAGACAATTGAGTAGGAAGCAAGCATTTAGCTATGACGGTAAAAGCATGGTCATTGGCTTCAGACATAATTTGATATAAATATCCCTTCTGCCACTATGTACATATCTTCTGAAACACTGTTGCATATGGAAATAGCATTGTTGTAAAAATGGAGTGAGTTATAGGGTAGTTCATAGTTCAGATTCTGGCACTAGAAAGTCACTAAAAAGAGACTTTCTAGACAGGAAGAGCTCATGCATTTGTAGAAAGCATGCAACATTAATAGTAAAGATAATGAAGAGATTAAATATGTTACTATAAAAATAAGTAATTACACTCATGTACACATATTTCTATTAGGAATAACTAAAAGATTTTTTTCCTATGGCATGTGAACAAAACAGACACATGTACATTTAAACTTATTCATCAAATAATTCATGTGGATATCACTTTAAGGTTATTTATAAATTTGAGCTATTGAAAAAGTATTCAAATATAATCACATCCATTAGCTAGAAGTAGTTACAATGAAAGCAAAAAACCAAATGAGCAAATGATGGACCTTGAATAAGAACTATAAGTAAAAATTATCTACAACATTCTTGGACTTTAGCTAACATTATTGGACTTAAGAAGTGCTATCATATTCGCCAGAATAATTACTCTCTGATCCCTAGAAAAGACAGATGTTCTGCAGACACAATATGTGGCCACCATGCCATTTTTAGAACTCTTCAATCATTCACCAAATCTTTTCTCAGCAGATATGTTTTATAAGCATCCAATCACATTTTGTATCTGAAGTCAACCCCTCAAGAAAAAACTGTCTACATAAATATGCCTCTAATGCCACTGACAACTGTCTTACCTGAGTTATACTGTGACCCAATCCACTTATGCTTGAAAATCCATGATCCTTGAATTCTGCATCTCCTAAGAATTCACTATCAGAATGTGGTGTCTGTGTCAGTGACCCTGTGTCAGATCAACTTAGCACTCCCTTCCTAGAGTTGAAATAAATTCAACTTTGCCCTTTTAATTCAGATATTGAGTGCTGATCTTGTCACGCTTTGAAAATGCTATATAGAAAGTTTTTTTTTTTCTCTAGAGAAATGTAGTTTTCCATGTGCTTGGTAGTAATCCACAAATAAAATCAGTAATTTATTATTTTTTATAAACTTTAATAATAACTTGATCTCAAGTCTTGCTGATAATAATCCTCCCTCTATTTCCTTGACTGACAACCTTACCCCTCCTTGGCAGTCATCAGAAATAAGTTGAGTGAGGCACAGCAAGAGTGTATGATTACAATCCTAATTATTTTCACAAGACTTGTAATGAGGATGGATTCATTGTGATCAAGATAAAATCAATGCTTAAAGCAACACTAAGAGAGAGCATATACATAGAGTCTCCTGAATCTTATTAATTGTACGTGAGGTCAGTGGGTAGATGGTGAGTGATAGGTCCTCAATCATATGTGTTTGATTACCCTTTAGTCCCTTTGAATTCCTAATCTCCACAATAAGAATATCCCTAGACCACGTTTCTCCTCCCATTGTCTCATAATAAATCACGTTTGTTCATTACTAATAAATAAATAGCAGGAGAGCTCCTCACTTAGAGCAGTGTCTCACCTTGCAAACCGTTCCACGACTCATCTCTGGGGATGTCCCCTGGGAAATGCTGGTGCATCTTTGACTACCAGACATGATAACTAAAATGGTTGTAGTTTCTTTAATCAAGATGATGGAGAGATCCTATAGCTATTTGTTAATTTGGTCTATGCACACCAGTTTGTGTTTAAACAGTCTTTTAAAAGTATTTTGTACTGCTGGTACTTCTTTTTGTTTTGTTTGTTTTTAATTATGTTTTAAGGTAAAATTACTTCATATTTTCCTATCAGCTTTCTCTTTCTCATAGCATTTCCTGATGGTTCACATATTAGTAAATTGAAAAAGACTTCAAAGGACAATGCAAGATATAAAGATTGATGTTCATATTAAAACAAAACAACTTTAGATCCATTCTTACCTATTGTCAAAATTTTTATGAGCCATCTCCAAGGATGAGGCATGTGCTGCCCATAAGTACTTCAACAGGTCTTCAAAGCCACTAGAGGGGGACTGAATGTGCTATCCAAGAAGAAATATGACAATATTGAAGCACATAATCTCCTATTTCAAAATCTATTATATTTAGAAGTACAATGTTCCAACTTTCTAAATGAGAGGTCATTTTTCTAAGAATTAAGGCTTAAGTAATTTAATGCTTAACACTCCCTAATAGGTTAATGAGTAATAGGACTGAATCCATATGGAAGAAATAAATCATGTATTTTTGAAATATGCAAAATTAAAAATATCCAAAACTCAATTTTTAGTATTTTATTTGATTTTCCATTGACATGCAATGAAATTTCAATAAAAATAATTAAAAAATCAGAAAAAGGAAAAAAATAAGTCTAAATGTGTTTTATCTAATTATATGCAATTTAATGAACAATATCTCTAAAAGGAAATTTGATCTCATGTACTCTCAGTCATGACACTTGGAACACCAAAATTTGATTCTCATTAAATAATGATTTTGGTCAATTCATACATGATTATTTATCAAGAGAATTGAAGTAAGTTGATCCACTTCACCACAACCTATTCTATAATTATATTTCTAAACAAATGATCACTTAGTTTATCTGAAGTCATGAAGTCATGATGAATTTGGACAATTGATGTACTATTAATAGATAATTTCTCTGGGCTCACATGTAGTTTATATGGTGCCAGAAGAGTGTACAGGGCAGCCATAATACTATGCTGGTAATATGACATGATGTCATGTTTTTTCTACTCTTGCTGTCATCATAAACATTTTCATGTAGGAACTTCATTTTTAAGAACATAAAGTTCAGTGAATAAAATATCCTATATCGAATAATTAAAAAGTTATCTGGCTACTCTTGAAAGTATTACTTAAAACACTAAAAAAAATAACCTGATAAAATTCATTCCACTTTTTCATTGCTTCTGGAAAAGATGAACGACAGCTAGAAATAGTATAACAGAAATTCATTTGATCCTTGGATGGTGGCAGAAACGTGACATTCTCTGGTGATATCCCCATTATGCCAGAATCAATTGCAGCAAGGAAGGGCATTGCAGAGAGATGATAATTAAAGGCTGTATAAACAAACATTATTATTATAAATGTTAGCATTTGGAAATGGTTTTATTTTGAATGAAAGAAATATATTATAAAAATAAGCTCATAGATCCAGAAATGAGATAAGACTTAAGTAGCAATTCTGGGTTTTTCAGAAACTATTAGAAAATATCCTTTTCTGATATATGCAATTCAAATATGGTTTCTCTTTAAAACTTTAACAAAACAGAATAGATTTATTTTGGAGATTAATAATTTTTGTTTTAAATAAAAAAATAGATTACAATAGGTAATAAAGAAAAAATAGAAACAACTATAGATTACTATACTTTTTGAAATTTATATTCTCAATTTAATAATCTGATATATTTTAAACATTTTCTAATATATACATATTTTCTCCTTGACAAAGCTTTATTTGCTAAGAGATCATAAATCCCTACTTCTATCCTATGTATTAAATTTTGAGATACTAATTTTCTTAATTGACATTTTTATAATCAGATAAACTAATTAGTAAAACTTTAAATATCTAACTAAAAGCCCATTTCAAAGAATTCAGACAATTTGGATCAAGCAGATTCTTGCAATAAAAGCAGTTATTTTGGCATTTATTTTGTTCTAATTGAGATTCTAGGTTGTATGGATTCTTCACTGAAAGGTCATTAACTTGAAGTTTGATTGTCGCACTTAACTTACCAGCCCACCAACTGTCCATGGAGATGCACAGACGAGCCCCAGATTTGTAGCCACAGTCTGTTTTTTGGGTGGGATCAGCTAATCTGCCTAAAAGAGACACCCAGATGTGGGTTTACTAGGCCCATTTCTAACCTGTAGAAAAAAATTCTAGCAAGATGATATAAAACATTTATTCACTGAGACAATTATAACTGCCTTTCCTCAACTGTCTTCACTTCGGTGGCTTTTTGCTTTTTTCCCCATCTCTCCCATTCATATTCTTTGGTTTTGTTATCATCCTTTCAGGGATCCTCTCTATCCATGCTGTGTGCTCCTGTGCTCTCAGAGACATTTTTTTTCTAACATCCATAATTTGTATTTCTTCTACTCTTTATACTCAATATTACAGGGTCAATATTCATGTGTATGAAGCAAGATCTAGACGTTTGCCTAAAACCAAATCCTTTCCCTTCATTTAATCATTATTCACTCTGGACAAATAACTACAATAAACTTCAGTTTCCTAACTATGTACTATAGAAACTAACAATGATTAGAGGTTTGGGGATGTTAAATGTAAAAGGACATGAAAAGTGCTCAGGAAATGTGCTCCAAAAATTTTAGTCATTATTCAATATTTTCACTTTTACTTTATAACTTTAGGATCCCCTTCTGGTGATGCTATCATAATGCTCCCACCACCAAATCACCTCTAGTGCACCCCCACAGTCCACTCCTGCTTTGTTCTTGCCATTCACATTCTCCACCACTCCCCAATGCCTCCATTCTTGTGGGCTTTCAATGGCTAGTTTGTGACTTTGGCTTTATCTGACCCTTTGTCTGGTTTCTCTATATTCTACATATAAATGGTGCCATCTGGAATTTGTCTTTCTCCTTCGCACTTATTTCGCTTATCATAATCCCCTCCAGTATTATCAAGCCTTTCCTTTCTACTTCTTTCACACTTGAATTTTCATCAGTTCCACCTTTTAAATGTATCCCTGTATATCCTTTCATCTGTCTCTGATTCTAGGAACACTCTTTCCCTTTTCAACCATTTCCATATCTGATTTATTTCCTGTGCTCCTGCTAACTTTCTTTTATCTCCATTTCCCATAAAACAGTGTTTTGACCTACAGTTTTACTTTGACTTCTCTCCTGGTCAGGCTTTACTCATTTATTGGGAATATTCCCTTTACTTTCTCCAAGTAACTCTTTTCCAGTAATATTTAAACTTTCTTCTTTCTTTTTCTTGGTCCCAGTATTTTCTATGTCTTTTCTTCCCATCAGTCCTATCCATGTTTGCCATAAACCTATTTTGTTTCTATTTTTGCTTGCTTCCTATCTAGTTCTTTATTTAATCCTGTTGGACATGTTTCACCTACAATGGGCAAGAACATATTTCTGAGTAATCTGTTAGTGCATGTAGAGTTCTCAGAATTTCTATTCCTCATTTAAAGCAGAATAAGATTCAAGATGTGAAACATTTTTCTCTTTTGGGGTGGTGTTGTCTCATTTGGGAGCTGTTTTGAATTTTCTAGACTGTCTTCTAGAACCCACTCAGTCTCTGAAGGAGCTCACCCATGATGCTAACCTAAGGTTCCCTGATGTGGCAACTCCCTTATCATCTGCTCTTATTACTCAGTATATTTCATTCCCATTTTTGATAAATAGCCATAAAACTTCTTCACTGGTGATTCCATGCCAACAGACACTGTTTCATCAACCTTCTGTTTCATGTCAGAGAAGGTTAACTACTCTTTGGCATGCTTCACTCTTCCCCCTTTTTCTATAGTCAAACTGTGTCTAGGCCTTGGGCTAACCTCTAAAGATCACTTTACTTGCTTTCCTAGGACAAGTCATTCTCACTAAATGACCACAAGATATACTTTGTCCCACCAATGTTTCCAAGACTAAAAGTAAATCTGTATTTTTTACTATGCAAAGACATAGTAACAAAATTTCTGCCATAAACTTATCTTATTTTCCAATTATATTATTTCCCCAGCACAAGTTACATAACTCCCATAATTCAAATCTCACCCTTTTTCTCCTTTCCCTCCATATGCTATGCTTATTCAAAACTGTCTTTAACTCATTCTATTTCTTTCTTCTTTATTACAACTGTGAAGGAAAAAAGGCACAAAATGATGTAAAAATAAGCTATTACATTATATATTTTTTAAAGATTCATTTATTTATTCATACAGAACTGGGGTATAGGCCAGAGATGCCGAGGGTGAGAGAACCCATCAGAGACAGAGTGGGGAGCAGAACAGGCAGATTGATGAAGTACACTGCTGAGGGGAGCAGCGGGCGGGTCAGGAGAGGTCTGCCTCGCCATGTGGATCTCCTTTGGGGCAGGCGGGGATCAAACTCATGCGGAAGTGGTTTAAGCTTCTTAGTGCTGTGTTTTAACCCGCTGCGCGCCACCAGGGATGGCCATATTTTTTTTTAATTAGCATTCTATTTTTTCTTTTTTCAAGATTGACTCCTTATCTTATTCTATTTCTAGGTTATTCCAGCACAAGATACTCACTTTTATTCAGTATTGTAGGCTTTTGCCATTTATTATCATCTAGTTATGTAATTTCCTCCTTTTCCTCTAATCCTATTAGTCCTCTGAGAGAAGGCATAAAAAAAGTACCATAGGGCCCTCCCTGGTGGCGCAGCGGGTTAAAGCACTGCACTAAGAAGCTTAAGCCACTTCCTCATGAGTTCGATCCCCGCCTGCCCCGGAGGAGATCCACATGGCGAGGCAGACCTCTCCTGACCCGCCCGCTGCTCCCCTCAGCAGTGTACTTCGTCGATCTGCCTGTTCTGCTCCCCACTCTGTCCCTGGTGAATCCTCTCACCCTCCGCATCTCTGGCCTTTACACCAGTCTGTATGAATAAATAAATAAAAATCTTAAAAAAAAAAAGTACCATAAATAACTTGTCTAATCTTTCAAAATAAATAAATATCTTTTCCATTTGCTACAACTTTTCCTCTTTTCTACCTCTTCCTTATCCAGCTTCAAGTCCCAACATTCTCTTTCCAAACGCTAACATTTTTCCCATTAAAGCTTCTGCTAAGGAAAGCTTCTGCTTATATGGATGAATCTCAAAACAATTATGACAACTGACAAAATTATGACAATTATGACAATTTAACCAAATACAAAAGGAAAAACCAGAGTACACAGTTGTTTTTATGAAAATTCTAGATCATGCTATCTAATCTGTAGTGATGTAAAACAGATCAATAGTTTGTAAAATAGCTTGAAAAGTATAATGGGTGGGGCATTAGGTGAACAAAGGGATAGGAAGAGACTGAACCTATCAGTGAAGTTCCTGAAGATGAAAATACAAAGGGAAAAGAAGATTTTTAGAATGGTGCATTTTATTTATCATCTGTGACGACAGGGTCAAGGCTCTACATGTACATCAAATTTTATCAAATAATATATTCTTACTGTGTACTTTGTTATAAGCTTGTTACATATTATAAAGCTGCTTTTAAAAAAAGAAATTCTGCTAAGCAAGCAAGAAAGATTTAAAGTGCTTAAGTTTTATGCAAGCATTAGGTCCTTATTACTAAACTGTACCACATTCTTATAGGCCAATTCAAGATTCCTCAGCCTGAGACCTAACACATTTCTTGGCTGGTTTCATATTTATCTTATTAAATTTACTGCCCACTACTTTTTTTCATAATCAGTTATCCCCTCAATGTAGTAAGCATCCTCCCAATGCAACCTATATTTTTGCCATCTTTTTAATTTGTTTCTTAGCAGTTGTATTCTAGTAATGCCTCTACCAAGTTCTTTGGCCCTATGTTTTGTATATACTTCACCCATGGTTGTCACTTTTTACTGAGCTGCTCTTATGTTTATAGTTGTTTCAGTGTTAGTTTTATAGGCTACTTTCATAATTTTAATCTTGTTTTGATTTTTCTCTAGTTATGCCATATAACATATAATTCACCAAAATATGAAATAACATCAGCAACTTAATAAAATAAAATTCCACTTATTGTGTCCTTAAATGAAAATGAAAATTTCTGTTTATGTGGGTCTAATTTCTTTAGATTCCACTTATAAATTAGTCTTCAGTATTTGTATTTCTGAATCGGACTTTTCACTTAGCACAATGTCCTCCAGGATCATCCATATCGTTGATATGGTTGATTTCCTTATTGTTTATGGCAAAGCAATATTTATTTCTTATTTAAATTTTATTACATAAAAGAGAACCAAAACAGATGCAGCACCCAAAGGCTGAGAAACCCATCAGTGGAATAGAAAGTGTTATGCAGAAATTACTAGCTCAGGAATTTTTTTTTAAGTTATATATTTTAAGTTATATTTTAAGTTATATTTACTAGTAGTATCTTAAGGATTATCTTGTTATAGTACAGAGCCTAAGAAATTAGAATGACTTTTTAATAAAATAATAAAATATTTATTTATGCATATAAGGTGCAGGGAGATAAGATGATTCACCAGACAGAGCAGGTAACAGAATAGGCAGGTCAACTGAAATAAACTGCTGAGGGGAACAGTGGGTTAGGCAGGAGAGGTCTGCTGCTCATGTGCGTCACCTCCCTGGTGGGGGATCGAACTCCTATTCCAGTGGCTGCAAACAGCTTCATCGTGCTTGTACCACCAAGAATGACTTTTTAAGAAATGTTTACTTTATGAATCTATAGATGTAATAAGAAGTTCAATAATTTTTTCTTCTGGAAGAGGGACATTACTTTGTTTTTTCATTTGTTCTTTCACTATCCGTTTAGCAAACAACTGAGTACAATGTGTTATAGTGAATAAACATTAGATATATCACAGTTATTCTTAGGGAAATATTGTATAAAGGGGTTTGGTAGTTTGGAAGAGGGAGTGATATCTGTAGATTCAAGATGGCAAAGGTATCATCAGATAAGGAAAGACAAAGGTGGTGGTGTGCAAGCTGGAGCTGCTCTTTACTTAACATGCTTACCTTCTCTTTCTATATAACTTTAACCCTGGAAGGAAGGAGGTGTTTTAGAGGCAGTTGTAAAGGATTGTAGTAAAAGGAATGAAGTGAGAGGCACAGTGTTTCAGTAAGTTTTAACTTGGTAAGGTACTAAGTATATGGAGCAAATTTCCATTTTTCAATGGATCTTCCATTCCCTGGCATATTTCCACCCAGACAACTGGTTTTCACTTAATATAGTTGATTGTATTTTCCCGTAGCAAATGAGAATATATACAAGAGATGTTGTGAATAGGTCAGTGGGAGAAAAACAACAACCAGAAACTTACTTTTTAGTTTTAAGTTCATTGCTTCATACAGAATCTAAATCTAAACTTTCAAAAACTGCCCTTATGTTTACTTGTTCTCTTTGCTATATGTTTCACAACTCTTAAAACAAAATTTGATGCATTTTGTACTTGTATCAAATAAAGACATGGATCCATGAAAGTTTGATCACCAGTGATTAGTGCTTCCAACTTATACAGAATTTTAGTGTCACTTAACATTAGTTTTTTTTTTTTAAAGAAATAGGTTTAACTGCCAATGCAGTTAACTATCATGCATTTAATAGTGATTTTTCACCCATATTTTCTTCTTCAAATTCAATGTCCCTCTATAAATCAGTCTGTTGAACTGTCTTCAAATTTGCATGCGTAAATAGCACTGGTCTTTGTATAAGGGACGACACAGAGGCACAATTCATGCTGACTCTGAAAGGCCAGTGGCCAGAGAGTTACCTACGGGCATTACTAACTTTCCAGGGCATGAGGCCTTTCACCATATTGCAGGTTACAGGCACGAAATGAATTACTTTCACTTTGGTAATAATCATTGTTGCAAAACTGCACAAAGATAACATAAAAATTGGAATGAACCTGCTGTAGTGTTGCAATCTTCCATCAGCTGTAATCTGTTTCGTCTGTGTGGACGTGCTATCATTTTGGTATGTTGTTAAGTTCGTTTATGGCAGCATTTAAGTTTTTGTTTTTAACCTATCTTCATTACATTTGATTTTTTAAATGACTTATTAACACGTACAATGGCAAAATGCTAAGATGTTGGCTGCAGGAGAGCAGTGCCTGAGGGCGTCACAGTAGCACCACGTGTAACAGCCTTGCTGAAGGGAACTCTGGCAGAAGCGACTCCTGAGGCAACAGGTCTCTTCCGGTGGCAGCACACACTGTGGGCCCCGCAGGCTGCAGTGGATGTCGAAACAGGAGAGTTGGGCCCCCGCAAGTAGCTCAGAGTTGTGTGTGGTATAAGATAAGACTCGGGCTCATTTTTATCCTGCATCATGCCCAGTTTTCCACATCCACTTATTAAAGACTATACAGTCCTCTTTGTTGTTCTTGTTTGGATTAGTATAGTTTTATAAAATAGTATTTTGGAATCAGAGAATGTGGGATTCTAGCCTTGTTTTCTAGTAATGCTTTGGCCATTTGGGGTCTTGAATTGCCCGTATATTTTGCCTCTTGACTAGACTATTTTGCTTTATCGCTTTAAGTAAGGATATTTCACTTATATATGGACATTGACCAACCTTGATTTGATTTTTAACAATGAATTTTGCTTTACAGGGCTTTCTCCTAAGGAAAACTGATACTATAAAAGGTCAGTTTTTCAATAATTTAAAAATATTTTCAGTAAGGACTATTTGAGAAATAGTTAAATAACAGAATTTTTAAAAATAATAATTTATTCTTTTAATTGTGGTAACATTAAGATTCCCCACCAGGTACCCACCACCAAATCACCCACAGTCCATCATTGTAGTTCATTATTTTTCTTTTCTTATTTGTTCCTAATCATCTCCACCTTCTCTTCTACCCCATTTCTGCTTTGGATACTTCAGGTCTTTAGTCAGTTTTCAGGGGTTAACTTTTAAGGCTGTCTTCCTCTGAATACCAGAATTTTATGGGAAATAAGAGTTACACATTGTAGAGAAAAGGCATAACAGGTGCCTAGAACTGTCAGGGGGTATTTAATTTAATTATTTTGATTAATAGCATCAGCAAAGATTTAAGATAATATGTTTTAGATTATATTTTGCTCATATTTTTAACATGTTCATGTTCTATATAAATGTTTCATTAGTAATGGAAATGTATAAAAAGAAAATTACAAATTGAGTCACTTACGATGGAATATATCAGAAATTTCTTATTGGGTGGTAAAAATTCTTTCTTCAGATCCTCAAATACAAAGAATGTGGCCTATTCCAGCATGTGGACTGAAATTGTGCTTTATTATAAGGTAATTTGAGCTAGTTCTAGAATGTAAAGTAGTTAAAATCTTTATTCTAGGTGTTCAGTTGTATCTGGTACAAATAACTTGTTAGAGAAGAACTTGCCTTGCTTATGAGGAAGGTTATGAGTAATCATTGTAAAGAAATGTAAAACTCTAAGTAATATAACCTGTCTTAAACATAGAGATTTGATTTTTCATGAATATCTCAGACATACTATAAAATCAATTAGATTTCCACCAGACATATAACTAAATTCTGGGGTAGGATAACACATATTACTGACTGGAAAAATGAAATTCAAAGATGCAAAAGGGATAATATGAACCAGGGTGATTTGTTTAAGATCGCAATTGGAACATTAAATTACTTTCTATCATGAAATCAAATTGATCAAGATATGATAACACGCATTTAGGCTGGTGATGATGGATTTAAGAGTGACAAGTTAACAATGAAACGTCCCAGAAACCGTCCAAATTCTGTTGTCATGAGTTTCTTCCAAGTTATTAAAAAAGTACCTCCTGTAAAATAGGAACATTTATTTTTCCAATTAATGAAAATGGAATACAATTTGGAAATTTAGAAATGTAAAACTACAACTGTATTTCCATTAGTAGCTATTTGATAATTAAGCATCAAAATACAGTGAAACCAAACAAAGGATCAGATACAGCCACACTGAGAACTAACCTTAGAAAGCTGACTATAAAACATAGGCTACCAGAGGGAGAGAGAAAACTGGGAGGATGAGATCAAAGTGGGTGGGAGCACAATGGACTCTGGTGGCGAGCTGTGGGTGTTTTGGTGGTGGGTGCAGTGTGGTGATAACTCTTAGATGTCTAAAACACAAACTGTTGTAAAATAATGTTAGTACCTATAGTACTATTTCTAGAAAATCGGGTGCAACTAGACATGCACAGCAAAATATTAACCTATAAGAGATTTTAAAATTAACTCAAAATGGGTCATAGACTTAAATGGTCAAATGCAAGGAGTTAGAATAGAGGGAGGCAAATCGGTGGAGAATAGTTAGGGAAATTAAAGTATTCAGTGTAATATTGTAATATTGGGTACATGTTATTACACATTTGCCATAACCCATAGAATGTACCTGAAGAATTAAACCTGATGAAAACTATGGACTTTGGATGATAAGGAGCATATGAAGCCTCTCCTTCTGTTATAAATTATTATTGTTGTTCTCTTCATTGCTTTTAAAAAGAAAAAAATAATGCACAAAATGCCACTAATTTTAAAATAATTGAAACCACCGTACCAGAATTTTGCTTATTTAATGCTGTAGATCTGGGACATGATCAAAACTCCTTTTCCCAGATTAAGTGTCCTGCTTCATCTCTCTCTGTCTCCTAGGTTAAAAAGGAAAAAAATAGCATTTATAATTGAAAACCTGCAAAGTGTTTATTTAGCTTAGTTTCAGAGTAAATGTACACAGTTGAACCAACTTATAATGGAATTACTTGTAGTCCTTACAATAAAAACACCCAACTTACTATAGGTACGTAAGGAGGCAGGTTAGACATTGAAAATTATATTAACATTTATATAATCAGAGGGATATTCCAAATTTTTATAGTATAAACTAGCTCTTTTTAGGACAGATAGTCAAAAATGTTGCATAGAGAATTAGAACATTAGGAAGAAGTCAGATGTTATTAATTTATCTTTTATAAATTGCTTTCTCTAAAGTAAATTTTAGAGAAATACTGGTTTGTAGGTTTTTAGACCAGACAACTAGCGACACCTAGTGGTCATTCCCCATGATCAACCTCTCTTCACTTCCAATGTTAAATTTTAGCCCACACATCAAAAATCTTGTCAGTGATTTTGGAGTAAGTAAAACCAATAAGCAAAATGTATTAAAATACATGTAGAAAAATTAAATGTTAAATCTATACATTATTTTTAATGTTGATATCATATAAACATATTATATGTAGTATTATTTAATGCAGTGTTTGATTTATGAACAATTGAATTTAATGCATTGAATATTGAAGAATGACCAATTTTTGTCTGTCATGTATCATAATTTTGCTATACCCCTAAGAACTTAATTTTACCAACTTTAATTCAAAAATTAAATTAATATTTTAAGACTCCTGTTGTAGGTAATTCTACATTTTTTAACTGATAGAATTGCATGGATTTTGAAACACTTTTTTACACAACTATTAGAAATAAGGCTATTAAGAATAGAAGGTTTCAATTTTATAGTACATATAACATGGCAATGAAGTGACATGTACCTGTAAAGAAGTAATAACACCTAATAGCTATTTGGTGACAAAGCTGAAATAGCCTAGTCTTTAAATTTTTTTTCACAACCAATTTACAAATCAATAACCAAGAGTTTAATACAAATTATATCAGGTAGTGGATTATTCCTACTAATATTCAAATATTCTAAAAACTATTTCAAATATTAATAACATAATATACAGTGTTGACTCTGAAAACATACAGAATTGCAATGAAAAACAGTGGGGAAATGGAGAGTAGAGACTGAAAGTGTGCAAAGTGATCTTAATAGTTGGCAAGAGCTGTGAAACTTGGTTTAGTTTTCTTTGTTTCATATCTTTATATTCCACATGTGTGAAATCATCTGATATTCCTCTTTCTTCATCTGACATTTCACTTAACATAATCCTTTCAATTCCATCCATATTATCAAAAATGGTAAAATTTCATCTTTTTTTTTTATAGCTAAGTAGTATTCTACTATGGAGTTATAGCCAAAGCACTCCAAGACTTTTATTTCAAAGATATCTTTGGAAATTTGATTCTAATGACAAATGAAACAGAAGCAAAAATAAACAAATGGGACATTAAACTAAAAAATTGCAATGCAATATAAGCTGTCATTACAACAAACTGACATCTGATGGAATAAAAATAATACAATCATTTTTGCTGTTATTTCACTGCTACAACATTTAACTTGGAAATAAGAACTTTTCACTACTCTCTCCCTGCAATTCAAGTAATCCATCCAAGCTTGAACTTTCTTCAAAATATACAAAATTCAAAGAAAATGTCAGGGTTATGTCTAAGAGAGTATAAATATAATAAGCAATAATCACTTTGATAAAACTGACTGAAGAGCTTTGCTTTTATTTTTGAATATTGCAAAAGATAAGAATTTGACATGCAATGTATTGTAGAAATCATTTATTTTCAACAAAAGGAGTTGGAGGTATTTAAAGCAACATGCTTAAGGAAACATATTTCTTATCTATTATTAGCATGTGGATAAGTATAAGAAATATTTATGAGATTATCCTAAAGGAGAGGATAATGCTCCCCGGCAAGAGAGCATAGCGAAAGTATATGCCTAGTAATGTTATGTATGATAAAATGAAATGCATGCAACTGTTTACAATGCGTATTTTGAGGGCATTTTACTTAATGCCCACTTTCTCTATTGGCTAAATAAAAAGCCATGTTTCCTTATGGTTTTTTTTGATCACTATAAAATAACTTATATTCAAAAACATACATAGATGCAAGCACTATGATGCATACAAATCTCTACCAATAAGCATAATAAATATAGCATTACTGAT